CGGCACGCGCCCCGCCGGGCACCCCCACATCCGCTTCTGCCCCCAGGAGGCGGCCGGCCAGTGCCGCGGCTTCCCGGTCTATGGCGCCCTGGACGCCCAGGAGGTCGACCCGGCCCGGTGCACCCTGCAGGGAGAAGGTACGGGGCGCGGGCGGCCCATGGAGGATGCCCCGAGGCGCACACCTGCAACCCCAGCCCGCCCGGCCTCCAAACGCCGTGCTGGGGCCAGAAGGGGCTCAGTGCTGAGTGCTCACCTGGCACGCAGGAAGCCCCGGGTTCGAGTCTTCAGTGCCACACACAAAAAGCTGGAAGTGGCGCTGTGGCTCAAGTGGCAGAGCGCCAGCCTTGAGCTGAGGGGCAGCGCCCAGGCCCAGGGTTCAAGCCCCAGGACTGGCACAAACCAAACACAAACCCACTGACGCCTGTGGGGCTCCCCACGGCCTCCCTGCCCGTCTGTCTGGTCAGTGCAGTTGGTGTCCAGTGTCTGGGCGCGGTCCGGCCCCGCCCACCTCAGGACAGGCCTGCCAGCCACCACCAACCACACAGCCCTGCTGGGGGCCAGGCCGGCGCTGCCGACCCCTCCTGCTCCCGGAAGGAGGCGCACCCGGCTCTGGGCTCCTCTAATCTGTGCCCGGCCCCTTCACAGGAGCCTTCTCGCCCCGTCTGTTTTTATTTTTGTGTGTGTACAGGTCCTGGGGTCTGCACTCGGGGCTTGGCCACTGTCCTTAGCTTTTTCCAGCGAAGTGGGTGCTCTACCCTCTGAGCCACACCTCTACTTCCGGCTTTTTGCTGGTTGGTTGGAGACAAGAGTCTCACAGCTTTTCCTGCCTCAAACCTCTGTCCTCAGATCCCAGCCTCCCCAGTGCGGGCAGGAGCCATCTGCTCCTGGTTTATTGCAGGGGAAGAAATTCCTCTGTCCCCAGACAGGGCCATCCCTGGGTCATAGTGCCAGCATGTAAGTCCCTGCACCAGGGTGAGGGCCTCCAAGTCCGGAGGGTCACACAGCACAGGCCCGGCCCAGCGGGTCCACCACACCCCTGCCCCGGCTCTGATCATCGAGGTCAATGCTGCATATTTCCTGAGATTCTCTAGGGTGGAAGTTAAGGTCCAGACCCCTGTGATCACAGAGTGACCAGGTTGGCCCCAGAGCTCTGCACAGGCTGACGTGGGGAAAGGAGAGAACAGGATGGGCGGGCGCTGATAGCTGTAATAAGCAGGAAGCACAGCCTCTGGTTTGAAGCGGGAAGGCAAGAGGGAGTCCATGTTGGGGGTATTGTTTTGGCGGCTCGCCCTAGCTGTGGTGCTGCTGGGTTTGTCACCCGCAGATCTGCACAGAGCTCGGGAGAAGCAGACGGCCTCTTTCACCCTGCTCTGCAAGGATGCGGCAGGAGAGAGCCTGAGCAGAGGAGGGGACCACATCAGTGTCGCCGTTGTCCCTAAAGACAAGAAAGACAGGTGTGTAGGACACACACGGCCGGGACATAGAGAACTCAAGGGTCTTTGAGTTCTTGAGCACAACTCAGTGGTCATCTTCTTGGAGTTCATTTTCCCTCTCCAAGAGGTGATGAAAAAATATGATTTCTCATGGTTGAATCAAATGATCAGATCCAAGTTTCTTTTTGTGCCAGTACTGGGGCTTGAACTCAGGGCTTCAAGCCCTTGCTTAGCTTTTTCATTCAAGGCTGGCTCTCTACCACTTGAACCACATCTCCACTTCCATTTATTTGCTGGTTTATTTGACATGAGATTATGTCCATAAGATATTTGTTTTTCCAGGCTACCTTTGAACCTCAATCCTCAGATCTCAGCCTCTTGAATAGCTTGGAATGCAGGCACATAGCACTGGTGCCTACATCCAAATATGTTGTGTTTCAGTCCTTTATGCAATTCTCTTTCAAAGATGTACCTTGTCTAATTGATTAAATTCATTCCAGGATTTGGCATGGACTGAAAAATCTTCCATGTTAAATGGATTGGTACCTTTCCTGAGTTTTGCCAGGAGCAGGTTTATAGTTCTGTTTCTTTGGAGTTGATGTGCTGACGGGAACATGAGTTCAACAGGGGACTGAGGAGTAATCCCATACACCGGCGGCTGAAACCGGAGCCAGCCCAGGCAGAGAAGTCTGTGAGACTCTTATTTCCCATTAACCACCAAAAAGCTGGAAGTGGATGTGTGGCTCAAGTGGTAGAGCACCAGCCTCAATCAAAAAGCGAATCCTGGCATGCACACACACATGTACACACACACACAAACACAGAATATTGAGCAGAATAGACTTTTCAGTCTAGAATAGGGAGCTGAGAGAGGATTTTTTTTCACCTCTTTTTTTCCTTCAGTCCAGTCAGAACAGTGGTCCAGGATAACAAGGACGGGACATACAACGTGTCCTACACCCCCAAGGAACCTGGCATCTACACCGTGTGGGTTTGCGTGGAAGAACAGCATGTGCAGGTCAGTGTGGCCCAGGGCCCGCACCGAGGGCCTCCACCATCTTCTGATCAGCTCCACGGAAAGTGGAGCGAGTTCTCTTTTCTTCACTGTAGAAATAGCCCAAGTTTTGCTTTTCTCTCTCTCTTGTGCTGGTCCTAGGCCTTGAACTCAAGGGCCTCACACTCTCACTGAGCTTTTTCAGCTCAAAGCTGGCACTCTATCACTTGAGCCACAGCTCCACTTCCAGCTTTTTGCTGGTTAATTAGAGATAGGAGTCCCATGGAGTTTTCTGCCCAGGCTAGCTCTGAACCTTGATCTCAGATCTCAGCCTCCTGAGTAGCTAGGGTTACAGATGTGAGCTACTAGCACCCAGCGATCTTACTATTCTGTCCTGTGTTCACCTCTTAGTGACTTGATAGAACTCTTAATTTGGAGAAGATGACTTGGCCCTTAGGGCTGTCCACCTGCAGACAAGCACACTTGGGGAACACAGTGTTGCTGAGAAGCCCCAGCCTTGTTCAGATTGAGACTGGGGCGTAATTGGCAGAGTGAGGCCCCTTCCTCTCCATGGACGGCCATTTATCTGCCTGTATTTCTCCATTTCACTTGTGTGCATCTATATTATCATGGTTATGGCACTGTCTCCACACCTCCTGAAGGAAAAAATAGAATTTAACATCAGGAAGGCTTCTAAGTAGGCTGTCTGCGCTTTCTCTGACTGCATGGTTCTCAAGCAGGGAGAGGCAAATTGCACTTAGTAAATCTTTTTGGCAGTTGGGACAATTGCTGATTGGAGAATCATTAGCCGCAGACACTTCACCTTTCTCCCTTGTGTCTTCACAGGGAGGATAGGGGAGTGGGTAAAGGTGCACTGTCCAGGGTGGAGGCTGAGAGGCAGGAGGCTTGGCCTGTCGGTGGCGCAGAGGCACGAGACTGATGGCTGGATGAAGGACTGCAGGCCACCTACCCTGATGTGTGTAGCCTGAGATTCCTCAGGAATTGCTTAGGTCACTCTCAGGCACCTGAGAGCATGGGTGAAGAGCTGGAGTGGGTGCAGCGTAGCCTTCTACCCCACACAAGGCTGACGGTGGGAGGCTTCTGCTCTGGCTAAATGGCTTAGCTTGGCTCAGCTGTTGGTTCACAATGCTGTCCTGTGTTTTTGCTGTCCACCTGGCAGGGCTCGCCCTTCACTGTGACAGTGAAGAAGAGGCACCACGCACACTCAGGCGTCTTTCACTGCTGTACCTTCTGCTCCAGTGGTGGCCAGAAAGCCGTGCGCTGTGCCTGTGGGGGCACCATGCCAGGTAAGGGGCACGGCTTCCCAGCAAGGCAGCGTCGTGTCGGGTAGCCACACAGCCACTCAGGAGCATGCTTAGGGACCGTGTGTGTGTGTGTGTGTGTGTGTGTAAAAACAGGGAAATGTGGGGCCCGCATCAACCTCTTTGTTCAGCATGGAGGTGAAAGGCTTCCAGATTGTGAGTTCTTAGGTTTTGACAGTTCACCAGCTGTAAACTGCACGTCTCCCTGGGGATTCTGGCTCAGTCTATATGGTCCGTGCAGTTAAGAAATTCCAAATGAGTCAGGTTACAGGTACACACCTGTAACTCTAGCTACTCAGGAGGCTGAAATCTGAGGATCACAGTTCAAAGCCAAACCTGGCAGGAAAGTTTGAGACTCTTATCTCCATGTAACCACTGAAAGGCGAAAGGTGGAGCTGTGGCTCAAGTAGTAAAGCACCATTTTTGAGTATAAAGCTAAGAGATAACACCTAGGCTCTCAGTTCATGTCCCACGACCAGCACATACCAAAGAAAGAGCAGTTCCCAGTGTGGCAGAGTCAGGAGTGGACGGCAGAACCAGGCACAGGACCAGGCACCTTGAGGTTGGCTTTGGTTTTTCCTGAGCCTTGTGGCTCATTAGGCTTTCTCTAGGGGTTTTCCCTGGCTGGGTTGGAGGAGGGCTCCAGTGCCAGGACAGCCCTTGTGCTCCGTTCCCAGGGTTGTTTTTCCTTCCCATCCTCTTTGTGCCGTGCAGGTGGGTACCTGGGCTGCGGTCACGGACACAAGGGCCATCCGGGCCGTCCCCACTGGTCCTGCTGTGGGAAGTTTGCAGAGAAGTCGGAGTGTACATACGTGGTGGGGCCGGGCACCCCGGGGAACCTGCTGAGGACCGTCGCACTCTGATGATGCCAGTGCCTCCCCCACACCCATAAAGCTTCCACCAGTGGATGTCAGGTTTACAGAGGATCCCAAAGCCTGAGAAATACCAAAGAAATGATGGAATTAATTAAAACAGTGCCTTCAAGCGCCTGCTCCGAGTCTCCCTTATACTTGCACCGTGGAGCCAGGTCTGTTTCTCTTATAGGTAGGTTGGTGATGATCGTACTTTATCACGGAGCGCCTTTCTGTGTGGCACATGGATGGCAGTACCTATGCCAGTGGAATCTGGAGGTCACAGGAGATGATCAGTTTCTTCCTTTCCAGTGCATTACCACCTGTACGTTCTGCTCTGTATTTTCACAGTCATTACTGGGCAGCAGTTTGACATGTGCCAGCTTCTAGACCTTTCCCACGCAGGATGGTTCTGGGCACACAGGACTTCACATGAAGATCTGACTGATAGAATTTTTAGTTCGGCCCTACTTAAGTATCTGTTTTCCTAGAACTCCCTCCTTCTAAAGACCAGCATATCTCACTTAACCAAAGTCCACTTGGGAAAAACTCTGCCTCCTCTCAGACTTGGGTAAATTACACGAACCTGGGGGTGAGTTTGGGGTTTTCCATTTACCTCACACTTCTGGGGATTTTATTTATTTTTGCTATGAAGAAGCCTGTTGGATTTCATCACCCATTCCCATGGGTCTTTGTGAGTCAGATGGCAGAATGGTGGATAAAAAGTTTACCATTTATTTCAGTTGGAAAAAGTTCCAGTTAATTGGTCAATTTACCAGAAATGAAATTATATTGTAATAGAAAATTTCTCCACTCATGTTGCTCTGACACTTAAGCCACACCTTCAGTAACAGCCTTTTGTGGGTTAATTGTAAACAAATCTCATAGACTTTCTTGCTTGAGCTGACTTTGAACTTCAATCCTGTCTCCAGTGTAGCTAGGATTACTACAGATGTGAGCCACGACAGACAATTTCCCTGAGAAATCTGTGATGGGTGTGATGGGGTAAGGCTTGGCTCTCAAGCATTCTAATGGAAACATTTCTGTTACAAACACTTGACGTTGGTGGCGGGGGCAGTGGTGGGGGCTCTTGGTCTGGCCTAGTAATGGACTCTTCACCCAGCTTAAGCCAGCTGCTCCACCGGCAGAAAGGCTTGGAGAGGGCATGGTGCGCAGGGCCCAGGACTACAGGGAAGGATTTGGGAACCATCACAGCGTGAGGAAGTGATTCAGAAATCATCGGTGGGCTGGACACTGTGGCACCAACATGGTACAGTACAGAGATGAAGCTCTGCTGCCTCACAGGTAAGGAAGTAAATCTCAGTCTAAATCTAATCTAATTCCCTGGGGTGGTGCAACAGGATAAACACCTGGACTGCCACAGGAAATAAACATCCATCTACTCTCATCTCTTAAATGCACTCATCACTGAGTTTTACTCAAGAGATGGATCCCTGGGTGTTAGTTTGGCTCAAAGAGATGGTATGCATCCTTTGATTATTTCTTAAATTTAGAACATTTTTAAATAAAATGAACTTGGATTAGACAGCACTATGCCATTAACACTAATTCAGAATGAGACCTCCCAGTCTGGGGACTAGAACCTAAGAATGCGTGTCACATGTACTGTCAGGGCCTGGTTGGGCAGTTCCAACTTTTCCTACATCCACAACACATCAAGAGCATCTCTACTGTAGACCCTGGCTAAGGAATAATTAGGTGGCTTTGACAGGACAGTTAGTCTGAATACATCCAGAGAAACGTTTATCTTACAGATTAATCAGATTATAAATTGTAATGCCCACTCCCTTTTCCACACAAGACAGGAAGTCTGACCCCCCCAGGACCATGACTCTGTGACCTCTAAGCACCTTCTTGAGTGGCATTACTGATCACCAGGTCAAACAAGTGATTGCAAACAAGTACACACCAGTAAATCCCCAGTGGGGTACAGACAGGTGCTAACCCCACACCTCGGAAGAGCTGAGAGGCCCCAGGGGTAACAGCCAGTCCTGTGGCAGATGCTGGGCTGCTAAGTCCTCACTGTCCTGAGCCATTCCTTCTCAAATGATATGGCTTTTATAACTTCATAAAGGTAATTTTACCACCTTTATCTCTGGTTTTCAGGGCCTTATTGTAGCAGCTAAGTTCTAAAAGCAATGCTTCCCTTACAAATGAGGATAGCCAAAGGGGATTTTTTTTGGAAAAAATCACCCAGACTTGGGGCTGGTTGAGGTTCCAGAACAAAAGGCTCCTCACTGCACTGCGTGGTCCTCACCCTTACCCAGCCCACGAGGTACGCTTCTTTCTAGGGAGAACTATGTTTTGTTTTGTTTTCCTAGCAGAAATGAACAAGGCTTGGGGAATCATTGCTGAGGGAAGAGGAAGTTTGAAGTTTTCTAAAGAATCAAAGGCTCCAGTGTTCATGTTAGTCAGGAATCTGCCATAGAAGCGACCCCAGAAATCTGTGTCTCAACAATAATTTCTTGGTCACAGCGTAGCCCAGTGCCTGCGAATGGAGTATGGAAGGAGGTACACAGGGCTCTGTGTGCTCACTCAGGGATTAAGTCTGACTTCAGGGTGAGGGCCCAAAGCACGTTAGGAACCCCCAACCTAGTGGGCTCACCATTCTTAGGTCTCCCCTCAGTAAAGCACAGGGGAAGAAAGTTTGAAGATGGCAACCTAGAAATGCCTTCCCACTTTTGTTCATGTTCCCTGGACAAGGCAGTGCCCTGTGCCCTGTCCAGCTGTGGGGAAGACTGGAAGTAGAGTCCCTGGGCAGCCAGAAGCAAGAGAAACAGAAATGGGGTTTGGTGAGCATTTAGTGTTACGTTTGCTATGGTCAGATACATTTATTACATTGTGCCAATGATAATAATACAACTGCTGATGATATGAACACTAAATGACAATAGTCCTAAATGCTCAAATAATCAAAAATTACATAAGCAAGCCGGTGGCTCACACCTGTCAGCTACTCAGGAGGCTGAGATTTGAGGATCGCGGTTCAAAGCCAGCCCAGGCAGGAAAGTCTGGAGACTCTAATCTCCAGTTAACCACCAGAAAAGCAGAGGTGGCACTGTGGCTCAAGTGGTAGGGCACTCGCCTTGAGCTGAAGAGCTGAGGGACAGAGCCCAGGCCCAGAGTTCAAGCTGCTTGACCGACAAAAAAAAAAAAATTACAGAATCATTACATATACAAAGAAAACATGATATATTCAGAACACTGCAGGCGAATAAAGTAATAAAATGGAATAACACAATCACCCCGATACCAAGTGATCCATGAAATGAAATGATGAAATAGCTGGGGACTACCCACACTAAGCAGTCGCGCACAGTACCAGGGTGTGCTCAGCAGCTCCTTAACCCAAGGTTGAGAAGCAGTGCCAGGTGGAGGGGTGACGGGGCAGCAGGGAGGGGTCTGCTCTGCTTAGTCTAGAAACGCCAATGGGGCAAGCCTCAGTGAGATGGGATTTACCCAGGTTCCACAGGGTGGTAATGCTTCCTCTGCCTCTCAGGTGCTGCGACTACAGGCGTGCACCACCACAGGCGTGCACCACCACATCCAGCAACACAGGGCCTTTTAAGCTTTACTGAAATAAGTACACTTCCAACAGAGTTGCCTTCCAAAACCAAGTAACTCCAAAGCTTTGTGTGCTGGTCATGGGCTTGGACTTGGATTGGTGCTGTCCCTTACCTTTTTTGATCATGGTGGACACTGTACCATGAGCCACACCTCCACTTCCAGCTTTTTGGTGGCTAACTGGAGATAAGAGTCTCACAGATTTTTCTGCTGGAGCTGGCTTCAAAGCATTTTTTAAACCTGAAATCATCGGAGTCTCGGCCACTCATTGAAGAAGCTGACTAACTGAAACATGGGGGAACACTGCGCCCGTCCTCATCTCTGGGAACAGGGTTCTCTGCCACTCCCAGATCCCAACACAAAGCAGCAGTGGCCCTATTCTACAGATAGGTTAGATGCCAAAAAGGACTTTGAGGTCGGCCAGGGTGAGCTTGGTGACGGACTCTGCGGACCCAGAGAGAACCTGCTTGGCCAAATCTTTCTTCTTTTCTTGGAGCGCCAATATCTTTTCTTCCACTGTTCCAGCACAAACAAATCTAAACACAAGCAAGCGATCAGAACATGCACAGCAGCCCACTTCATAACATACCCAAACCACCACCATGCTGCTGGGCTGCTGTGTTTGTGTCTCTAAACTTGGTTACCAACAGGAACAGGGAAATCCACGTAAAGTGATGTGGCTCAGGCTCAATTTTTACTTCATCCTAAAGCAAGGGTGTCTGAGAGAGCCTCAATTAAGCAAAGGATATCCTATCCCAAAGTAGTACAGAGCCAGGGACCAGTAGCTCACGCTGGTTACCCTAGCTCCTGAGGAGGATGAGACCTGGGAACTGTAATTTGAAGCCAGTTACAGAAGTCCAGGAAACTTATCTCTAGTGGAAATGGAGCTGTGGTGGAGTGCCAGCCTTGTGTAAAAAAACCTAAGGGACAGCACCCAGGCCCTGAGTTGGTGCCTATTACTGGTATAAAACAAATCAGAAATCACAAAAGGTTTTCGCAAGAGCAGACTCTGGGAGGGCCCGTGGCCTGGTTACCTGTGGATGACAACATCCTTTTGCTGTCCCACTCGGTAAATCCGGTCACAAGCTTGGTCTTCCAGCGACGGATTCCTGTTAAACAGAGAGGTGCAGCTCAGAGATATACCCCAGACCGGGTGACAAGCTGAGGACCACAGGCCAATTCCAGCCTATAGCCTTCATTTGTTTACTTCTGCTAAAAATGGCTGTTCTATTTTCAAGGGGGTTAAGAAAGCCCAACAAAGCACAAAGGATATGCAACGGAGAAACCATTTAACCTGAAAAATATGGACTCTTTCCAGAAGTCTGTCACCCCATTCTAGGCTCTATGGCCTAAGGAAAGCTGCTGTCAGATACCCCCTGACTCTACTGAGACCGGGCCAGGCAGCTGTGACAATGCAGCCCCACCATTAACGCCTATGGAGGGGAGGGGAGGGGAGATCAACAGTCCTAGCCAGCCTGGATCACTTCCCAGTGTCAGAATGCAGCCCTCCGGGTTTCACTCCTGCTTGCCAATGTAATCACCGGCTAACATTCTCCAGTATTTACATGCTTAGCCTTAGTCCTCCATGAGTCAACCGAGGAGGAAAGCCTTGTACTTCTTTCTTTGCGGACTTTCACGACCAAGTCCAAATTCCTGTCTTATTGCACCTCTTTAGAATCTCAGATAACAATTCGCTATCTGAGGCAAACAAGTCTCCAACAAGGCCCAAGTCCAGGTATGGTCCCCTGGCCCCCACAGTGCACAGCCGAGCACACGATCCCGAAGGCAGAGCATGGGGGTCAGTTTCCACCAGGCCAGGCCACCCGGAGGACTAAACCATCCCAGCCAGCCCAGTGCCCACCACACCCTTGGAAACAGAAACCGGTCTTCGGACTTCACCAGTAACATTCATTACCCAGAAGGCACTGCCGAGCCAGCACTGGTAGCACACATATTTCTAGCATGACTATGCACTCTTCTGCCATCTCAAGAGGGGATCTAGGATGGAGACCTCCCTGAGCTGTTCCGCCTGGAACAGGTGAGCCTGCCAGCTCTCAGCACTGGGAGAGAGCTCTGCCCCTGCTTTCCACCTTACATGGTCAGGAGCGAAAACAAATGTTTCCGGAGCTGAAGGGGTGGGGGAGGGCATTGGGAGTGGCTTCCTGCTCTGTTTCACACTCAGCTGGCTCTATACCGCCCATCTCCTAGTGTTTTTTTCACTAGTTATTTTGGAGGTGGAGTCTTCTCTGCCTAGCTGGTTCAAACCTCAGTCCTATGATTACAGGTGTGAGCTACAGGTGCTCTGTGTGTGAATGAACTATGTTAAGGAGACCTCTAGAACCCATGTAGGAACTGAGGAACGTTGCCTGCACTCCCACCTGTTCACAGCTGGCACCTGTGGACACATGTACAGATGCACTGTGCTCCACATCAGAGATCAGGCCCCACTGGCCCACCAACCCCCCTTCTCCCTGTGACACTGACATAACAGGAGGGAGATCCAGATCATTACCAGTGCATGTCCAGAAGAAAAAGATGGTTTCCTCCAGTCAGGTTTAGACCAATACCTCCAGCCAAGAGAGAGATCAGCATAACCTTCCAAAGGAAACACACCAGGGAGTTGATACAGGGGATGCAGGTTGGATCTTTGGGGTCCCCAAAAGGTCCACATGGTAAAGGCTTGGTCCCTCTCATAGAGCTATTCATGGGTGGTGGAACCTTCTGTGAGGTCTTTAGGACATGGGAGGAGGAGTAAGCGGAAGGAGACCCTGGCCTTTGGCCCTTTCCTCGGGCTCTTTCTCACTTTCCAGCCATGAACTGTGCTCTGCTGCACACTTGCCACAGGCCCCAAAGCAGCAGGGCCAATGGGTGATGGATGAGCTCTTAACAGCAGGAGTCTGAACATGTTCTTCCTCCTCTGCGTAAGTAGACTATTGCAGATACTTGTTTCAGTGATAGAAAGATGGTAACAAAAACTCAGGGTCAAGCCCAAGACCAAAACATGAGCCACAGGTCCGGATCAGATACCCTACTATGACGTACTAGAACCTTCAGAGGCTACCTCCTGCCTCCGCTTGGAAACCTCCCCTCTTCCCTATGAATCTCAAAACACTGAAATATACGGGTACTGTAACTTAGAGCCCAGTTAACATTCTGTAATTCAATTATCTTAATTCTATCCATCCCGCCCCTCCAGTGCTGCAGTAACTTTCCTACCACCAGCCACTAGCCAACTAAAGCTTCCTATTCTTGTCTACAACCTGATGCATTCTCTTCCATGCTTGCCCACAGCAAAGACCTGCCTCCCTGACAAATGTTCCCAATCGTAGCCAACCGTCTGAATCTCTTTCTAGGTTAGTCCTCATATCTTGCTCTCTTTAGAGAACTTGTGCCCGCTGACAAGTCAATGTCTAATAAGCTCTAAAGATCTCGAGACTGAAGGTATGAATATTTTAAAGTTATGTTGCTCTATTATCTCTAGAAAAACAAGAATAATTTCATGCTGCTGCTGTTTTTCTTTTCAGTTCCAGTGCTCAAACTTAAGGGCCTCACACTCAGCTTTTTGCCTATGGCTGGTGCTCTACCTCTTAAGCCATTCCTCCTGCCCAACTTTTTGCTGATTAATTAGAGGTGGAGTCTCTCCTGGCTTTGAACCATAGTTCTCCAGCTCTCTGCTATCTAAGTAGCTGAGAGCCCACCCAAGAGGCGGCAGCACCCGCCGTACCTGGGGGCTTCTGGAGTGGTTAAAGGCCTCCACCAGATCCATCCTCTGTTTGGGGTTGACAGAGCCGTCGATGGTGGCATGCGTCAGTCCGCGCTTCTTCAGGTGCAAGGCTACTACTTTCAGCATGCTGGTCCACTGCGAGACGATGACGCTGGGAAGGACAAAGTTCAAAGCAGTAAGCAGGCTCACCTGCATACTTCGTGTCTCTGTTAACCTTCAGCTTACTGACAAAAGCCTTCGTTGACCTTGGGGGAAGGCACCACACAGTCACGTGCAGAGGCTGGAGCTCTGGGGGTCAGCACTGGGAAATGCTGCCCACCCCAGGGGTGGAGGGAGGCCCTTGGGGACGGGGGACTCCATCTCTTCCCCAGCACCCTCTGCTTCCAGGCTCAACATGGGAGTACATGCATTGCATTGCCTTCTACCACCCTCACCAAAGGCCTAGGCCAACGTCATCTCCCAATCTCAGACCTGACTCTCCAAACTCAGGAGCCAGCTAAAGCCTGTCTGTGCTTCCGAGTAGTGACGTGAACCTAATGCAGGCACACATTTAAGGTCACACAGTGGGCCTGAACTCAGGACCTCCAGCTCTCAAGACTGGTGCTCTACCACTTGAGCCACACCTCTACTTCCAGCTTTCGGCTGGTTCATTGGAGATAAAGTCTCCTGGATGTCTGTCTGAAGTGGCTTTGAACCTCAGCCTCTTGAGTAACTAGGACTACAGAAATGCGTCACTGGCCTTCTGCTAATAAACAAAGTCAGAAAACATGGTGGCTAGACTCAAGTAACAACTCCAGCCTATTTTTCATTGGGGGCTTAGTGTTCATGCAAGGTTCTGTGGTCCTGCTTTAAAGGAACACATCCCGTGACAGCAGCCCAACAACCAGCCCGAGGGCTCCCACGGAGAACTAAAAATTCACTCAAGTATTTCCTAATATATAAATGTAAATACCCCCCGCCACACACAAACATAGCATAACAAATGACAAAACACCGTCTCCCCTTGTCTCCAGCTCAAGGAGACCACCAGCAGCTCTGTGTTAGCTCTGTTTGATGCTTCCTCCTCGGCTTCTCTGATTTTAGAGACTGTTTCACATGCCCAGCTCACTGTGCCTCTCTAGGCATATCTTTTCAGTGAGTGCCAGGAATATTTCAGTTAGAAATCATAGAGGATTTGTTCTATGACCTCAGTACGTAGTGCAGAGCCTGGCTCAAGGTTCTTGACAGAAAAACTCCTTTATGACAATCAGCAGCAAACCTTCTTATGTAATTCTAACCAAAACTTGGATAAGTAACACTCTTACCTCTTCTGAGTCCCTGAATTTCCTTGGATTGCCTCCAGTTCTGCCAGCAGCGATGACACCTGGAAAAGAGTTGCACTGATGGTGTGGCTTCCACCACTGGCTTTCCTCCATCACCTCTCCCTGCATGACTGCAGTCTCCTCCTGTCGGCCTCTGGGCTCCTACCTGGATCTGTCCTTATGCCATTCTCCCCTCTGTAGCTAGAAGTCCTCCCTGAAATGTAAGCTGGATGGGGCCCCGTCCTGACTTCCCCACTGAGGACGAGGTCCAAGGCACTTCAAGTGACCCGTGCACTCACGCTGTTGTAGCTCTCACTGACTTCCCCAGGCTCAGTTCTCAGTGCGCCATCTTTAAATGACACTTCAGTCACACCAGAATTCTTGCCCAAATGAGCCTCCCCTTTATGTATTCTGTTCTCTTGGCCTTAAACACCATTCCCTGTCAGCCTAATATGACTTTTCGGCAGTTCTCCCCAAGCCCAAAAAGTATGAGTTGGGTAATGACTGCCAACAGACCCACAATTGCTCGTAGGGCCCATGTCTCTATCTCACAGTCCTAATCTGGAAATAGGTGTGCCTCATGACACCTTGTCACTGCTTACTGATCCTGTCCTTCTCCCAGGACTGAGATGCTCTAGGTAAAAGCAGCATATGTCTGGCTCATTTCTGTTCTTCTAGCCCCTAGGACATTATTTACCACCAGGTACTATCCTAAGAGTCTTCAGAAGATAATAGGGGAGCTATACCCACTTTGACTGGTCTAATTTCACTGGAGAAGACCTGTCCAGCTTCCATGCAGGCTCTCCAGGCATTTACCCAGAGGCCCTAGGGCCCACTCACTGCAAACAGGCAGTTAGACATGTGGGCAAGCCTCTGGAGCAGAACTGCCTTCATTCTTCTGACCTCTCAGAAGACCCTAGAAAGCTGGGCACTGGTGGCTCATTCTTGTAATCCTAGATACTCTGAGGCTGAGATCACAGTATGAAGCTAGCTGGGGCAGGAAAGTCTATGAGACTCTTATCTCCAATGAACTGCAAAAAGCTGGAAGTAGAGCTGTGGCTCAAGTGGTAGAGTGATAGTTTTGAGCAAATAAGGCCAAAGGACAACACCTAGGACCTGAGTTTCAGGCCCAGTACCAGCAGTATCTCTCCCCCGCCCCCCTGCCCCTGCCAAAAAACTCCAAGTTCTCTTAGTAGAGAAGAGAGGAGGGATGGAAGCACCTTGGTGCTCTCTCGCGTGTCTTCAAAGAGCTCCCCCTTGAAGTGTGTGCCATTGAGGGACACGGTGGGAGCTGAGTCAGAGTCTCGGAGCTCAGACAAGGTGAGAGCGCCAAGCTGCTCTTCCAGGGACAGAACAAGGCCTTCACTCTTCAGCTCTGTTTGATCCAGGGCCTAGAACAGGAAGAAGGGGTTGAGCAGGGAAGGCAGCAAGGCATATATTATTTGTGAATAAGGTTTCTTGATTCAGGAAACAATGTTTTGAAATTTATCTTTCCTATCTCTTCAGAAAACCCTACTCAAGAAGTAGAGGTGTGGCTCAAGTGGTAGACTGCCAGCCTTGAGTCAAAAAGCCAAGCAAAAGCAAGACAGTTTGAATTCAAGCCCCAGTACAGGCACGTGCACATGTGCACACATGCTCACACATGCACAAATGCATGCATGGAGACACACACACACACACACACACGAGACCCATGTAAAGTGTGATCTTGGAAGTTTCTAATCAGATCAAAGATAAATGATTTTTTTTCAGACTTGCCAGGCAGATGACGCATTTTTCCCAGCTAGAATAATTCAGATAAGTGAGGGACTACATCACCACAGTCTGAGGCAGCACGTGCTCCTAGAGTTTAGATGGGCTTTTACCCAATGTAAAAGCAATGCTGCAATTTGTTTAGCCACTTGAATTTTCCTATCACACCTAAAAGCCTCAATTCTGAACAATGCTAGCAAAATCAGCATTATTCTAGCATTATTCTGAAACAGCAAAGCCTTCACAAGTGAGGTCCTTTTTAACCAAGTACCATTTCCCATTCCTAAACAATCCAATACTCTGTAATAAAAACGTACTCTCTCCAATGCCACAGGATCATCAAGATTAACATAACCTGAACTGACCCAAATAAGTTCTCTCTTCCCTGTCCCACCTCGAAGGGAACCAGAACTGACCCCACCCATGAGACTACTCACAGCCCAGACCCCAAGCCCGGAGGTGATAGCCAGAGACGAGGCCCACCCAGCCATAGCTGCTTCTCACCGACTTCAGTAAGGAAAGATGGCAGCAGCACTGGCGGAGTCTCAGCAGCTGGGAGAGGATGTGCACAGTACTGGGGGTCCCGGAGCTAGCAGTCGAGTGGTGCCCAGGCCCAAGGGAGCCAAACTCCTGAGCCACTGCCAAGAGAGAAGATGAACCCAGGAGATGGCGGTTTAGAAAAGACATCTGGAGGAGGAACTAAATCCTATTTGGTCTGCAATCTGGTAATTTAGGAATAATGCATATCTGTAACATTTAAAAGCCAAATGACTCTTCTTCGTGAGTAAAGCAAATTTCCTGAGCAATGTCAGGAAGCTGAAGTTGCCAGGTCTTATGTATGTGATGAAAGCACCTGGCTCTGGTGGGAAGGCCTTGGCCTCACTCTGCTCCCTCAAGGGATGGAGCCCCACTTTTGCTGGTGGACACACCTGGAGCGCCCTGGCTCACCTCGAAGGAATGGGTTATTGGGGTTCCTTTCAGGTAGGCTGCCTCTGCTCTCTTGTCTCTTCAGATAGGACTGCAGCGCTGACCTGCCTCAAATCAAACAGAAAACGCCCACATGCCATCACTAAACAGAACAGGCTGGCGAGGGTCACTGCTGAACCGTGCTTAGAATGCGCAGGGCAGATGCGGTCCTGGGCATCAGCAAAGATGCCATGCTTGCAAGCAAACATCCGTCAAAAGTAGTAATTACTCAAAAACACAGGAAAAAAAATCTCACCAGGTTACTGGTGGCTCACACCTGTAATCCTAGTGACTCATAAGGCTGATCTCTAAGGATTATGGTTTCAAGCCAGCCAAGGCAGACAAATTCAAAAGACTCTTGTCTCCATTTAACCAGCAAAACAAAAAGCCGGAAGTGGAGGTGTGGCACAAGTGGTCAAACAGCAAGCAGCTTTGAGTAAAAACGCTAAGTAAGCCAGGCACTGGTGGCTCATGCCTGTAATCCTAGCTGAGATCTGAGGATTGCAGTTCAAAGCCAGTTCAGGCAAAAAAGTCCCTGTGAGACTCTTATCTCCAATTAACTCCCAGAAAAACAGAAGTGGTGCTGTGGCTCAAGTGGTAAGAATGCTAGCCTTGAGCACAAAGAGGCTTCTGGACAGCAACCAAACCCTGAGTTCAAGCCCCACAACTGACCAGAAGAAAAGCTAAGCAATAACATGAGGCTCAGAATTCAAGCCCCAGTACTAGAATACATATGCCCACACAAGCATGCACACACACGTACACACACATCTCCACTACATGTTGATTAGCATACATTGGCAGGACAAAGGGTTCACTGTGGTGATTCCACAGATCTGTAGAACAAGTTCACCTCCTTTATATTCCCTCCCCACTCCCCTTTTCAGTAAATGTTCGGCTTCAATATGATCTCTTTGTGTGTGCATGTATGCATACCCTCATCTGCCCTCGTCCATTTTTACAAGAACCAGTAGCTCATCTGCCCTCTTCCATTTTTACAAGAACCAGTAGCGTGTGAGGTGTATGAGCGCTGCAGCGCAGTGAGAGGGAGTCTGGAATCCAGGGAAGGGATATAGGCAAGAGTGTAAAGAACCAACACCATGAAGGGTGATTACACCACCAGCTTTTGTTTCATTTTCCAATTCAGGTGACATGCTAGCTGACAGGCTAATAGTCAAAGAGATATGTTTTCCTAATGGACTCTCAGGAGGACAGACAGATCCCCATACCCTAAATTTAGTTTTCCTTTTTTGGCAATGCTGGGGTTTGAACTCAGGACTGTGTTCTAGGCAAGTGCTACATCACCTAAGCCATTTTTGCTTTAGCTATTTTCTAGGTAGGTTCTTGCTTTTTCTTGTCCAAGCTAGCCTAGACTTTAGCTGAAATGGCAAATGTGCACCACACCCAGCTTTCTTCACTGAGATGGGGTCTTGAAAATGTTTGCTTGGATTGACCTCAAACCAGGATCCTCCTAGTCTCTGCTTTTAAGTAACTAGGACTGCAGGTATGCGCCATGGCACCCAGCCCCTCCATACCCTTTGTTTCCTATGAAAGGAAGGCAGTGAGGAATAGGCTCAAAACTCGCTTTCAATGTACATCAGGCAGGGGTGAGGTAGGGAAGAGAGGGGAAAAGGGAGATTAAAAGGGAACAGAGGCAAGTGACGCATCTACGCCATCAGCACAGTTAAGGAAATGTGGCCCTGCTCTCACTCCCAAGCAGACAGGAATGAGACAACGCAATTTCAGAAGGAACGTCCTCTCATACCGGGATCTTGCAAAAAAGACATTGTACACGGTCTGTTCATCTTCAGAAAGCTTTAGCTGGTGCAGCTGAAACTCCCGTTGGGGAAGCATCACCTAGAAGAGAAAGAGGAAGATGGTGTGAGCTGAGTGCCACAGAGCAAATTGCCAGGAAGTCTGGCCCACCCTGGAAAGCAGTGCCAGTGTGGCTGAGACTGGAGAGCCAAGACAGCTGTCTGGGGCCTCCCTGGGCGGAACTGGGGGCTCAGGCCCTAAAGCCTGGCAAGTAGTTAGCACCCCCCCCGACCTCCTTCCCTGGCCTCAGCAGAGATGGTGTAAATGTAATTACCAAGGGTTTACCCATGGCATCCAGCTGGTCTTTCGTTCTCCTCAGCAGGAGGCTCCTGGTTAGGATGTTCAACCGTTCTCCTCCCTTCTTAGATCCATTGTCCACCTGACTTTTCCACAGACTGAACTCATCAAATGGAGAGCAGCGCAGAAATCTTTTTTTTTTTAAATGGTGAGGAGGGGACACAAAGTAGGGGAAGGACAAACATGAGAGAATGGGTCAGTGTGCACAGTAAAATATCAGACAGAAACAGATCATCACAATTCGGGTTACACTTTCATTGTGCCATTTTAAACAGTATTCATAGAAAAATCTCAGGTAGGCAGATCAAAAGATCCAGATCAATAATGAAAAACACTGTAGAAATGTGAACAACATCTTAACAGTATCTACAGGGTCACAACAGGACAGAGAAGAATAGCTAGAAATTATTCCTAAAGTTTCAAAGGCAATCAAAGAAATTCCATAGCCTCTTATGATCTGCCTTAACAAAGTATTTACTTACTTTTGTGCAGGTCTTTGGATTTGAACTCAGACCTTGTGCTCTCTTGGCTTTTTCATTATATATCTCCAGTTAAGGGGCTTAGCATTCTACCACTTGAGCCACAGCGTCACTTCTAGCCTTTTCTCTTTCTGTGGTACTGAGGAATCAAAACCAGGGTCTCATGCATGCTAGGCAAGCAGTCTACCAATAAGCTACATTCCCAGCCCCGAAGTTAAGTATTTTAAACTTAGCATTGTAGCTGGATGCTGGTGGCTCACGCCTGTAATCATAGCTACTCAAGAGGCTGAGATCTGAGGATCGAGGTTCAAAGCCAGCCCGGGCAGGAAATTCTGTGAGACTCTTATCTCCAATAAACCACTAGAAAACCGGGAGTAGCACTGTGGCTCAAGCGGTAGAGAACTTGCTTTGAGCTGAAGAGCACAGGGACAGAGTTCAAGCGCCACGACCGACCCCCCCCCCCCCCCCAAAAAAAAATCAAGTCAGCATTCTTTCCTGTTTGCCTCAAATCATTTGTAAGGCTGACCCTAGTCTGTGTTTAAGGCAGAAATAACCCTAACCCAAACCATTTACCATACTGAAGACACCTTTTGCTTCCCCTGATTCAACTTGCCTTACTGTTTTGCATATGCAAGGGCTGGATGTAACCACAGCCAGCCAATCAGTAATTCTTGATCATATGTATTCATTCTTTAGCCCTTAAAGGTTGCCCAGTGGCTATCTGCTACAGAACAGATAATGTGGCACACGCTGGAGGCCACTGAGAGACAAGCACTGACGAAGACTGGAAGCCGGCGGTCACTCACTTGAGCAGCGAGTACATATCCAGCAGGTTATTCTGAATGGGGGTGCCGGTAACGGCCCAGCGGGCCTGGGCTTGAAGCTTGCACACAGCAACAGATGCCTGCACTCGGGGGTTCTTCACACTGTGAGCCTCATCCAGTATGACCCTGGCCCACATCACCTGGAACAGAGGCGCTGGAACACCCTGGAAGGAGCAAGGGTGAGGGGAACATGGAATGCTGAGGGCTAGGAGAGGAAGGAGGGGAAAGGGAGAAGTGAGGAGGAGCCCTCTCCCGTGCCCCCCTCTCCTCCCAGTCACTGGGGATGCACTCTAATCCCTAGGTGGCATGGACAATCTCAGTAAACTCAGTTACAAGCCAGGGGAGCCTGAGCCGTTCAAATGCCTAGGTCCCTTCAGTCTGTGTCAGAGCTAAAGATGCCCAAAAATGTTTTCTAATTTGAAGGTCTGGGTGTTTCTCTTGATGCCAGTACTGGGACTTAGACTCGGGGTCTTGTGCTTTTGCTCAGCTCTTTTGCTCAAGGCTGGTGTTCTACCATTTGAGCCACAGCACCATTTTTGGATTTTTGCCTGGTTCATTGATGATTAGAGTCCCTTGGATTAGTCTGCCTAGTTTGGCTTCAAACCACAATCCTCAGGTCTCAAGCCTCCTGAGTAGCTAGGCTTACAGGTGTTGAGACACAGGTCCTTGGCCTTAACTTGTGTGGAGCACATGGGCAGCAAAGATGGCGCTGGGAGAGAGTAGAGTGGGCAGAGCCCAGTTGATCTTCCGATCAGTGCCTAACCAGCCGTGAAGGCTCAGGTGAATGATAGGGTGTGACCTTGACAGTAACTGGTTCCTCTTCCTCCCTTGCCATGCCACCCGCCCTTTTTGTCTTTAAAAGGGGCTGCTCTCGGTTAATAAACGAGTTTTCTACCTGCTGGATTTGGCTCCCCACTGTGTCTGGTTGTCTCCTGGGCTGAGGGAGGCTGGGGAACGCCCCGCACTTACCTTTCCTCGGACCCTGTCCGTCTTTTGTGGGACGGACGAAGACCCAACAAACTTGAATTTTATTCTTTCAACCACATTTCAGCAATGGCTCTAAACGAGGATTTCTCCGGGTATTAAATCTTTACTAAAAAATCTACTTTAAAGTGTAAGGTACTAAACCGGATGCAAAGGGCAGTTCCAACTCAAGGAATTCAGATTCCAGCTGGAAGCTAAAGGTGAAGACCATACTGCACATATACAGGTCACAGGAGATAACATGGGACAGGAACAGCAGGGCTGAGCCATGAGCACCTGCCACACCAGTCCTGAGGCAGCAGCGTAGCCACACAGGAGACCCGGCCTCACAGCCCACACACAAGGCTATGCCATTGGTGAGCACTGGGCAGCAGGAGGCACTCAGCCAGATGGTGGCAACTGAGTGGGTCCTGCCTCAAGGATTCCTGAAGCAGGTGGAAACAGACACAGCCTGAGGAGAGGATTGGGGCACAGTGCTGCATTCAAGGGGCAGAGTAAGGACAGGGCGTGGCAGCCTGTGTTCAGGGGAGGGGTGAGGAGGGACATCTGGGGTAGGCCAAGGTCACAGAGTGCCAACATGTCATGTAAAGGAATTTGGGATTTTTCCTGAAAGCAGTGGAGAGCACGGGAGGCTGGTTATCTGTAAGACAGCAGGCTGCCCAGGGGCTGCAACAGCATTCTAGAGAGTCCCCAATTCAGAAACCTATGAATATCCTATAAAATCATATACTCTTAGTAAAGATCAGTTCTCACACCAGGCACTGGTGGCTCACAACTATAATACTAACTACTCAGGAGGCTGAGATCTGAGGACTGTGATTCACAAACAGCCAGGCAGGAAAGTCTGGAGCTCTTATCTCCAATTAGCCACCAAATAGTCAGAAGTAGAGCTGTGACTCAAGTGGTAGAGCACCAGCCTTGGGCAGAAAGTTTAAGGGACAGTGCCCAACCCTTGAGTTCAAACCCCAGTACCAGAATATACGTATATACATACATATATACATATACACACATAAGCAAATAAGTAAATAATGAAAATGAGTAAGCAAGTAAATAAATAGCCAGACACAAAACCAAGTATCAACACTGAAGCTGTGGATACCCCATCAGGTGCCACGTGGCCCCACCCCCACATCCCAGCCTCCCGAGCCTTACCTGCACACTGAGGGCTGCACCTGGGACTTCCCCCTCCTGCTTCTCTTCCGGAATCTCCTTGGCTAGGAGACTGTACGTAGTTATCACGATGTCATACGTAGACAGGCTGCAGAGACAAGACATAAGGAGAACAGTACATGATCCGTCTGTGGACAAGAGAGACAGATCTGAGTGGGCTAAAAGAACAGATAGCAGAACTGACTAATTTGGGTCTTTCTCCCCCGCCCCCACACCTCCCCTCCTCCCCCACATCTACACACAAGTCTGGAGAAGTAAATTTTACTACTTGGCCTTTTCTACCTCTTAGCTCTGATTGCTTCACTCTAGCTAAAAAAGCCTCCTCTCCTTTTCCAGTGAGCCACAGAGGTGAAACTGTAGCTGGGGTCATGAGAACTGGCCAGGACAGAAAGCAAGGCAGGGCTGGGAACTGATTTCAATGACGACTCAGGATGGACGATGCCAAAATCCCAGAAAAGAAGAGGAAACCCTCCCAGCGCAGCCCCCTCACAGCGAAGGTGCAGTCTCCCCTCTCCTCCACTCTGTAATGGACTGTGAAGACCCAGCAATCAGATCACACGCTCAAAGTTTTGAGTTCACCTTGCCAACACCATGCAGAGATTCCCGTCAGAGGCACAAATCTTATTCCAGTGAAGCTTACCGATGACCACATGGACCCATGTGACATGCCTTCTGCAGAGGCAGCGATGGCTACATGCTGCCCTAGCATCCCTCATGGAAGGCAGAATGGAGAACCAGTCCAGAGCCAGCTGCAGAGCCAGCTTCACGCAAGGGGACAACCAAATGAGAGCCACCTTATTCTAAGGAAAGACTCCAAACAAAGGCACCTTACAGCACTCTGCCAAAGGCCATGTGCCAGCCGGTGCTGCTGATACCCTGTGCCTGTCAAAGCGAGGGCTGGCACAAGCCTCAGCTCAGCAGTCTGGCAGCGTACTCCTGAGAGACCGCTGCCCAGTTCTTTCTGAGATTAAACATCCAATATAAAGGTTGGAGAAACTTCTTAGAAGTAGAAACAACTTTGCTCCTATCTTTCATTAGAGCAGCAAGTATTTATCTCAGAGTATTATGTCATAATTAGAAGATATTCCTTTGAAACCAAACCAAATATTCCTTTGAAACCGGAACAGCTAAGCCACCGAGAGCTTGTCTAGCAAGGAGAAGGCCCTGGATCCAAACTGCAGCGCTGCCAACAACCCCTCCAAAACCTTGATAACATAGGTAAAACTAAGATTAGCAGCTGGGGTGCCTACCCTTCCTTCCTAGTACCCCTTAAAGAATTTGAAGTTAGGTCTCAACATCTGACACTTTTTTTTCTTTTCTCTCTTTTTCTTTTTTTTGTTGGTCATGGGGTTTGAACTATGGGCCTGAGTGCTGTCCCTCAATTCTTCAGCTCAAGGTTAGCACTCTACCACTTGAGCCACAGTGCCACTTCTGTTTTTCTGGTGGTTTATTGGCGATAAGAGTCTTACAGCCTTGCCTGCCTGGCCTGGCTTTGAACCGCAATCCTTAGATCTCAGCCTCCTGACTAGTGAGGATTACAGGTGTGAGCCACCAGTGCTTGGCTTCTCTATTGTTTCCTTTTGTCTCTTTCCCCCAACCCCTCTCCCTTTTCTCTTCTCTGTTTGTGTCTTGAATTTTTTTATTTGCAGTTTGGGGAATCAAACTTGGGGCCTTGTACATGCTAGGCAAGGGCTCTACCACTGAGCTATGCCTTCAGCCAGACTCAAGTTTAAAAGTTCTTGGATGGTTTATATATGAAAAACAGAGTCACGAGTATACATAAAAACACAGTCTACAGAATCTAAACATTTGATTTAATCACGAACTCTGCAAGACTGAGATAGTTCCATTTCCATTTACAGAAGGAACAGAACAAGAGTTCTAGAACCAGAACTTCAGCAACCAAGGGATTCTGTGACATTTCCTCATTTACCAGGGTATGCTGCTGCCATCTGGTGGATGACTCTTGGTACTGCAGCTATTGTTGGTGACCCTTACAAGGACATAGCAACTTTACCACCATCTGGATCTCCAGATTCCTCAGGAGAGGCAAAGGTTTGGTGAATGGGAGCAAAATTCCATCTGCCCTTGGTCTGCACACACCACCAGTGGTGACTAAGTGCAGAACTGGGAAACGAGGGTCCCCAGGACTAGGCCAAGCCGCTGGGCCCTCCGATGGCTGTGTGCATACTTACACTTTGGCGTGTCGATTCCGGTTCGGCCCATGGTAGAGATAGACTCTCAGTCGGCTACTGTTCACCCGTTTCTCTACCTCGCTTCTCCAGTGATGGATCAGGGAAGCTGGACAGACAATCAGTGTTCCATGGGAAGTGAAGCTGGCAGAGTCTGGGAAAAGAAAACCAGGAATCAGCCACAGCTGCTTCTCTCCACTGGCTTTGCACCTTCTGTCAATCCTTCTTCTACACAGAGCTGACAGCAGAACGGGAGATGGAAGAAATGATCTTTTAAACCAAAACACTTCACCATTTTCTCCTATAAGAGGGCAAGGCAGCAGCTTGAGCTACAAGTGAAAATCCCTCAAAAAGAAAAAGAACCAGGTACCAGTGGCTCATGCCTATAATTCCAGCTACTTAGGAGGCTGAGATCAGATCAAAGCTAGCCAAAGCAAAGTCCATGAGACTCTTCTCTCCAGTTAGCCAGCAAAAGGCCAGAAGTGGAGCTATGGCTCAAGCAGTGGAGCATCAGCCAGCCTTGAGTGAAATAGCTAAGGGACAGCACTCCAAGTTCAAGTTCCAGTATTGGTACAAAAAAAAAAAGAATTACTATGAGTAATCTAAGTCTTCTAAAGCCCTGGCTCTCTCCTTAATTTTCTTCTGTCACAGATAAAGCTAAGTTTATAATAAAAGGAAACACAGTCACTATAACAACACACACAGCCTCAGAGAAGACACCATAGGAAAGCGCTCCAGTACTGCTTGTCTAGAATAGGATCCTCTGTATTGAGATGCATCATCTGGGGGCTTGGATTCTGTAGAAAGTGGCACTAGACACTTGTATATACCGTCTTTGGAGAGACACGTCAAAGCCACCTTTTTGTCCTTTTCTTTTTTCTTTTCTTGATTCTTCTGGGTGAGGATGAGTGCAATCATGGTCAGGGTTTTCCCTAAACCCATATCATCAGCTGCAAAACGAAGCATATTAAATGAGTGAATGGCTGAGTAAAATAATCAACATATAGGCAAGAGAAGCCGCCCAAGGCAGGCAGTGACCCACCTGCTTCAGTGCCATCTACCAACTACGCTTGCTGACCTAAATGGGTTCTCGTTTTCCTTGTTAAAAATGAACTCTTGCAGGTGCTGGTGGCTCACACCTGTAATCCTAGCAATTCAGGAGGCTGAACTGTGAGGTTCACAGTTTCAGAGGCAATCTGGGCAGGGAAGTCTATGAGACTCTTACCTCCAGTTACCCACCAGAAAACTGGACGTGGAGCTGTGGCTTAAAGTGGCATAGCACCACTGGCAAAAAGAGCAAAAGAGCTCAGGGACAGTGTCCAGGACCTGAGTTCAAGCCCTAAAACAAAAAAAAAAAAAAGAAAGAAAGAAAAAAAAAGAACTCTTGCCATTTATATGGAGACAGATCAGGGAGCAGACACGCAGGGCTGGCCTGTAATCCCAGTGAGTTCTAGGTCAGCCTGAGCAGAAATGTCCATGACACTCCATCTCCAAAATTCCCAGCAAAACTGAGGGCTAAAGGCATGCTTCAAGCGATAAAAGTGCCAGTCAAGCAAGCAAGCCAACTGAGGCCTTGAGTTCAAGTCTCAACAAAATCAATAATAATTGGGATCATACTTGAGTTCCATGTGAATGGACTGATATCTATTCCAGTTTGACATGCTGCCTAGACTTTGCATAAAAAAAAGACCCAGAGAGGCACCCTGCCTCAGACTTCACTGGCGCTTGCCATACTGCAGGAGCATTAACAATCCTCCATGCATAACTGACACTTCCTGGGCACCTGTCATATGCCAGTCAGTAGCTTATCTAATTTATTCCTCATATTCTATCCATCCTATTTCCTCATCCTATAACTGATACTGACCCTTGGTTATCAACCTTTATCTTCATCCAAAATAATCATCCAACAGAGCTGAAGTAAGTTGACAGTGCAGCTGTGGTTCAAATCCTGACTCTGCAGGAAGAGCAAACACAGCAGGCCTGCATGCTAACATGTGAGAAGCGTGCTCACGGGGCTGCCCCAGGACTGCTGTCCAGAGACGCAGATTTAGCCAGGCTCTCAGCTCCAGAACCAAGGAGGGCTACTCACTGCCTCAACCATTGGTGCAAACAGCACAGTCTATGTTGCACACCTGCTCTGCCTCTAGGAGCAGGCAGGTGCTCACCCTCCTAGGAGAGAACTGCCATAGCTGGCATGATGGACACCTGGGCATCAAACCTCTAATGACTCACTGAAACATTCTACAACTCCCTGGTGGGAACGAAGCGTGATCTGTGTGATCCCAGGGCAGAGGACCGTTTTCCTCTGCCTGCCTTTTCCCTTTTGCCGAGCTTGATCTTCATCCATCTGCTGTTAGTCCTACTGAGAATCACTGAGCCTGGGTCAGCCACATCTGAGTTGGGGTGGCACTGCTCTCCCCCAGTGCTTGCAGCAAAGAAGCCAGGGCCAGTTTGTGACGTGGCCACATAGCCAGAGCTCCTGGAATGTGGGCTCCAGCCAGCCACTCAGCATCTGCCAGGAATTCTGGAAGCCATTGAATAAAACCCTCTGCCTCACCAGCCAGACTCAGCTAGCCCTCTTTTGCTACAGCTGCGTACTCATGAGCAAGAGGCAACACATTTCTACTGTTTAGCATCCTCATCTGCAAAATGGGGGAATCATAGCACCTGCATTGCCAAAGCAATTCAGTACAGATACCACCATGCCTAAGCCTCCAATCATGGTTGGCTGTGACAATACCATGCTTACCCAGAATCCCTCCTCGTGGCTTCTGCCGTTCCCGCCATAGTAGCCAGGCCAATGCCTGCTTCTGGTGCAGTAACAAAGGTACCTGACAAAGGAAATGGCCAGAGGGTACATGTAAATCCCCACGGAGAGGATAACCAGGTCCTAACTTCAGCTTTTATATTTGGAGTCCCTACCCCCACCTACACACAGACACACGAGACCTGGTTTGTCTACCTTATTAACTTGTCAGTTTCTGCTGCTGCACTAGCCAGTCTGTCGGCTTTTCCTAACTTGTCTCTTAAATCTGACTCTTCTCTAACCAGCAACCCATGGATGGTCAGGCATTTCAGGTTTTTAACAGGACATTCCTAGAACTTTTGTTTTTTGTACCAGTACTGGGGCTTGAATGCAGGGTCTGGGTGCTACCCCTTAAATTTTTTCGCTCAAGGCTGGTACTCTGCCACTTGAAGCACAGCTCCCCTTCTGGCTTTTTGCTGACACTCTTGTCCAGCTGGCTTTGAAATGGGACCCTCAGATCTCAGGCTCCTGAGTAGCGAGGATGACAGGCACAAGCCACTGACAACTGACTTGCAATTTCTTTTAAGCACAAGCAGTGAGATAACAATAATTATTGGCCCGGAGTGCTGTGTCCCTAGAATTCCTTCCGTGCTTCCTGTGCAGTTGGCACTGCAAGGCCACTGACCCCCTCTCACAGGGCCGTACGCCACTTAAGCACTGTCACCCAACGAATGCCCTACAGAAGAACTCCTCTGCATCCAAAGCATGGACTCAACCGCAACAAATGCAAATTCATAACTCTGACTTGTCACAAAGATTTTGCTACTGGACACCAGTAGGACTTACCAGTAACCCTTAGCTATCTTCCCTAGCTTACCTTCAAGCCAGGTGGGTCTTCTGCTACTGCTGTCTCCCCAGGACAAGACTCCAACGAGCGATGCAGTTCATCAATGGCTTCACTTGTGATTTTCCACATGGAGTGAAGGCAATCTTGGTTTGTACGTCCTGCACACAAACAAGAATTACCCAGAGGCACCGCACTACTGCCATGCCAAAGGTCATTATTTGCCCAGTGCTAGGCCTGTGCTCACTAAAAATTCTGGTCTTCTAAGCCAGGTGCTGGTGGCTTATGCCTGTAATCCTAACTACTCAGGAGGCTGAGATCTGAGGACCGTAGTTTGAAGCCAGCCCAAACAGGAAAGTCCATGAAACGCTAATCTCCAAATAACCATTAGAAAATAAGAAGTATAGCTATGGCTCAAAGTGGTAGAGGGCTAGCCTTGAGCAAAAGAGCTCAGGGACATTGCTCAGGCCCTGAGTTCAAGCCCCACACCAAAAACAAAATAACAGCAAAGATTCTGGTCTCCAGGTTGTCCTGGCCTTTCGGGCCTTGTCTCTATCCCAGGCGGCCTGGCTCTCCACATCTTGTGACATTTTGGAGGCCACAATAGAAAAATTCTCCAGCCTGGGTTGGCATCTCCTAACCCCAGCCACACCTTTCCCACACCCAAGCACACCAAACAAATGGTGTACCAAATAACAATTACAATGTGGAACACAATGATAGCATGATGAAAAGCCCTAAATTCAAGCCCTAGTATGGGGTAAAAAAAAGAAAACAAGAAAACAAGCTTAACTAAGGCAGGAACCCATGATCCAGAATAGATGTACAACTTTCAATTCAAGATTGGCCTTTCCCACCCTCCTCATGGGCACAAAGACATCTGCTAGGTCTCAACTGACTTGGGGCAGCCCTTCACCGCAAGGCTGGGCCCTAGGATCCTACCTCCAGCGGTCACCTGGCAGGCTGCCTTCAGTCCTAGAGAGCCTACAGGCTGGGCATCAGGACACCGAAGGGGCTGGGGAGGCACCAGGTGGAGGGGCTTAGTAGTTTTGGTGAAGTTACTCTGCTGTGGTGATTGAGAGCTGCTGTTCTCCTGAATTCCTGCTGGAGAAACAGAAGCAGAATGCATTGGAGAAAAGCGAGTGAGGAAGTGTATGTGTGGTGTGTGGTGTGAAGTCATGGGTCAAGGGGCATGGTCATCCTCAAAAGCTGAGAAAGGCCTCCTAGGGAACAGAGGTCTTAGACCTAAAGAGGTTAGTCTACAGGGGCAAGTTTTTTCGTTTTTTGTTTTATTTTTTGTCAGTGCTGGGACTTAAACTCAGGGCCTGGCCACTGTCCCTGAGCTTCTTTTTGCTCAAGGCTAGTACTCTACCACTTGAGCCACAGAGCCACTTCCAGCTTCTTCTGAGTATGTGGTATAGGGCTTCATGCATGCTAGGCAAGCACTCCACCACTAAGCCACATTCCCAGCCAGCAAGAACATTATAAGTCGCAGGGATAATCTAGAAATGTTCACAAGCAGGGGCTGGGAAGGTGGCTCAGTGGTAGAGCGCTTACCTTGCATGCCAGAGGCCCTGGGTTCGATTCCTCAGCACCACATAAGCAAAAAGAAAAAAGCCAGAAGTGGCACTGTGGCTCAAGTGGTAGAGTGCTAGCCTTGAGCTGAAGAGCTGAGGGACAGCGTCCAGGCCCAGAGTTCAGGCCCCATGACCGTACCCAAAAAAAAAAAAATGTTCACAAGCAGAAGACTGAATGGAAAGGTAAACCAATCAACACATTCTTCATCAGAATGCCTCAAGTCAGAACCATGAAAACCCCAGGTTCCTGGGCTTCACCCTTTTTACCTTGCTCTGGAGAGAGGGCAAGAGCACCAAGGGACTCCTCTAGCACCTGGATTTGCTTGAGCAACTTCTCCCCCTTGTCTGGAAGAGCCTGGATATTCACCGACGCCAGTAAGCTCTGGAAAAAAGATCCCACCAAACGGATTCCTCGTTTGCAATTTAAGTAACTTAAACATGCTCAGTTTCGGTGACACACACCTGTAATCTCAGCTACTCAAGAGGCTGAGATCTAGAATTGTGGCTCAAAGCCAGTCCTGACAGACAAATCTTGAGCTGTGGCTCAAGTGGTAGAGTACCAGCTTTGAGTAAAAAAGCTAAGGACAAACTCTAGGGCCAGAGTTCAAGCCCAAGTACTAGCATAAAAGAATGAGAAAAAAAAAACTAACATAGTCTAACATACCAAATTTCTGAAGTTATGGCCATTTAATTGTATGTGTAAAAGCCAGGACTTTTTTTTACCCTTTAAATCAGCTGAAAATCATCCTCAAAATATAACCATAAAAAAAGACACAAAGTCAGGCACCAATGGCTCACACCTGTAATCCTAGCTACTCAGGAGGCTGAGATCTGAGGATCGCAATTCAAAGCCAGCCTGAGCAGGAAAGGCTGTGAAACTCCCATCTCCACTAAACCACCAGAAAACCGGAAGTGACTGTGGCCCAAGTGGTAGAGCGCTCACCTTGAGCTGAAGAGCTGAGACAGCGCCCAGGCTAAGTTCAAGCCCCACAACCAACCAAAAAAAAAAAAAAAAGACACTGAGCACAGAGCTGTAAACCTTCTGCACTTGCTCCCCTGGGGCCCACAGGCAGTAGTGGGTGCTCATCTCAGCAGTTACCTTCTTCTGCTTCAGTTGGATGGCCAGGTGCGCACCCTTGGCGGTGGAGGCTGAGGGCTGTGCCTTAGTGGAGAGTGCTGTGGCTCTAGATTCTTCTCTTTGTCCCCTTTGACCAGGGAGCGGAAGCGTCTCCTCCTTCTCTGAGTGGTTGGTCAAGTCAAAGAGAAGAGGGCTCCCTGGCTCGGAGGAAGCAGCTTCCTCGTCCTCACTGTCTTCGCTGCTAGAGGCAGCTCGGTGTGCCCCTCCCTGGGCATGCCCAGTGGGAGCAGGCCCACGGGCCTCTGAAGACCCCCAAGGGAGCCCTTCTTTCCCAAAGGTCTTTGTGCCTGGGCTCTGCTCTGCCTTTGTTTCCTTTACCTCCCAGTTCTTAAGCTGCTCCTGCCCATGGTGCCCCCCTTTATGGGGCTGGTTTTCTGGGTTCCAGTGAGGGTAAGATGGGGCTTCCTTTTCTTTCGGAGGCTCTGCTCTGTTTAGGGCATCCTGGTTCTCTTGGTGTGACTCCTCCCCAGGGGCAGCGGGTGGTCCCCGTGCCTTGTTCCCACGGCGCTGCCAGGATGTACCGCCTCCACCTCCGGTCGCCTCGGTGCTCTCATTCTGCGACACCTCAACTCCAGATTGTGTCCTCTTTGCCCCCAAGTCAGATGCTGGGCCTTTCTCCACCCAGCGGTAACACTCCGGCTTCTGTTCTGGGCGGTCCACCAGCTGCCTTCCCTTCTCCTTTGGCTTCTGGTCAGCCATCTTTTCCATACCTTCCCCAGCAATTATGTGTTTGAAGAGAGCTGGTTTCTTATTCTTGTCCAGCACCTTGAATGGGTTTCTCTGCTGGCCAGAGGGGTGAGAGGTCTCATTCGCAGGCTGACTCTTACTGGTGACAGGGGGATCTTCCGAATTAGGATCCTAAGGGAATGAAAATGAGTAATCATAATATATAATTTTGTAGCCTTCCTATCTGGAAGGAAGACACACACAATACAAGTAGCTCCAGGATTTCTACACTTTCTTGGTATAGCTCCTACATCTAAGAGGAAGACACACACAATACAAGTAGCTCCAGGATTTCTACACTTTCTTGGTATAGCTCCTACATCTAAGAAAGTTTAGAAGCCAAACACAAAGAGTAAGTTTCCTAACTTTTTTTGTGCCAGTACTGGGGCTTGAACTCACGACTTTACTCCCTCACTTGGCTTTTCTGCTTAAGGCTGGTGATCTACCACCACAGCTCCCATCCTATTCCCCACATCCTGGCCATATGCAGGACATCTCCTGGCCCTACCATTACTGGGCCTTATCAATTACACTTAGCATATACCCTTGACAAGTACATATTGATCTGTAAAAACATGGGGAAATTAGCAAAATCTCATTTTTTTCTTACATTTAAGACCTTAAAAAGTACTTAAATACAACAGAAGGCAAATAATAAAAACACATTTTTTAATTTTTAAAATTTTTGGTATGTTGGAGATTCAACTCAGGCCTATATATGCTGGACAAGCAGTCTGCCACTGAGCTCTAGTGCTAGAACATTAAATACTGAATTTAACAAATGGTCCTTTGAATTAATAGTCCCACTTGAGTCCATCTGCTTAAAGAAAACTCTTTCAGACACAGTTTGAAGACCAACCAGTTTACCGGGCTTCAAGGTCTTTCCCATTAAAGCCACATATTAAATGTGTAATAAAGTCAGGCCACAGGCTTGTCTAGCAAGTGCTCTACCCCTTGAGCCAGATGCCACACCTTTTAGTTACTTTTATAGATGGGGTCTCTTACTTTTGCCGCAACCGGACTCAGCCTGAGACCCTACTTATGCCTCCAGTATACCTTGGACAGTAACTGAACAACTGTGTCCGACTGTTGTCCAGCCTGTGCTGGACTGAATCACAATCAGATCTCTTGAGCACCAAGAATGACAGGCATCCACGCCATGCCATCCAGTGCTCAGCCTCAAGTCTTAACATAGTAGACTTGAAAACAAAGAATCCCTACCTTCCATGGAACATTACCACACCAGCGTTTCCCCTCTGCCTTACTTCTAGCACATCTGAAGAACAACCTAATGAAATATAAAGTACAAATAATTGAAGCAACAAAAATCCATTAAAACAAGAAATGAGTTTATTTTTAATCCAAGAACACATCTATAACTAACTGACCCTGGCTTTGAGAGGTCACTTGAAACCAATCACTCTAAGTATAGATTTAAAAAAAAAAATCATAGCACATTGGGACTTGAATTCCACACCTTGTATCTGTCAGACAGGCAATTCTTTCAATTGAGCCATGCCCCATAATTCTATAGAAGAATGGTTTTAAGGTCTAAGAAGTGAAGCAAAGATGACATGCTAACACACTATGCACAGGTTTATTCTTTTTACTCTGTAAAGAGCAAATAAAGCAAAAACATCTATCAGCAACAGCTGCTAAAATCAGAAAAATGACCAGACAGGATGTCACATTACTGCCTAAAAATGAACCTGAACCTGGCCCAACTTCAAGATCCATTCTAGAACTTTTCCCAGGGAAAAACGCAAAAGAACAAGGAAAACTAGAACATGGGGAGAATAATAGGTAGAATTTTAACACTGGAAAAGACTACAATAGGAACAACCTGATCCCTTCAGCAAGTAATTCACAATATATTCTCTTTATTCCCAGCTATCCTTGTCTCTTGTCCATACTTATTAAATAGCGCTGAATAAAATAGAACCAACTGATTTTTTTTAATTACATAAAAGGATTCCTAAAACTTTAAATCAGTTAAATAAGAACTTTTAAAACTTTTAAGCGGGTAATGTACTCAATCAAAAAATATTTTTTAAAAAGCTGCTGGGTTTCAGTGCCTCTCATCTACAATCCTAGCTACTCACAAAGTTGATACCCAGAGGATCTTGGTTCAAGGCCTGCCTGAGTAAAAATGTTCATAAGACTTTATCTCCAAATAGCAAAAAGCCTGCTGAAAGCATGGCTCAATTTGTCATGTAAGAAGGGAAGTTGTAATTTACTGAAGACTTAGCATACATTTAGATTTTTTTTTCCACTCATTTTCTTTTAAGAATTAAAAGTTGGCAAGTCATGAGATAGCTACCAGAGTCAGACAGGGGTGATCACTGACCTATCCATCCAGAACTTAAATAGTAACCTATTTAAGACTTCTCAGACAAACCAGTTGCTCAGCAATGGTTAGGGAGTGACAGTCCGGACAATACTCAATATAAAATATAAATATACAATTCGTTTTATAATAATGACTTTAAACTTATCCAACTGCAACTCTCTTAGGAAAAACAGGGGAAGCATTCACCTACATGTTTCTTTTACACACTTACCTGTGTTCTTTCTTACCCTGGGGTAGAAATAAACCCTGAAGCTCTACCACAGAGTCCTCATGCAATAAACAATGGGAAACAGGAATGCTAGAGAAAAAGAAAATGAAAACATTTCAGTAGATAAGGAACAGAAGTTGACACCCATAAATCAAATCTTGTACACATACTGTACTGTGAGGAGTGTGGTCTGAGCCTCTACCTTTTCCCACTTCCGCAAATAAAACATGAGCAAGTGTGTGTGTGTGTGTGTGTACTCCCACCAATACTAGTGCTCACACTCAGGGCCTCACACACTAGCTTGCCTTCTTTGCTCAGGACTGGATCCCAGCTTTCAGGCTGTAAAACCTAAACACTCAAACCTGACCCACCCTAGCATCTCTTTACCCTTTCCATCACACAGGCCCAGCAAGGGGGCGGGAGGCCTGAGTCCCTGGATTCTGAGGGGTGGGGGGGATCAGGAGTTCAGGGTTTCAGGGATTCCAGAGGGTCTGAGGCAGGGGTTCTGGGGTTCTGAGGCGGGGGTTCCAGGGTTCTGAGGTGGGGTCCTGGGGTTCTAAGGGGAGAGTCTGGGGGTTCTGAGGCAGGGTTCTGAGGAGGGGTCCGGGGTTTCTGAGGGGGGTTCGGGGTTCTGATGCGGGGTTCTGAGAGGGGGTCTGGGTGTTCTGAGGCAAGGATCAAGGATTCTAAGGCGGGGGTCAGGGATTCTGAGGCGGGGTTCTGAGGGGGGTCCCTGGGGGTCTGATGCAGGGGTCCGGGGTTCTGAGGAGAGTCCAGGGTTCTGAGGGAGGGGTCCGGGTGTGTTCTGAAGTGGGGTCCAGGGTTCTGAGGTGGGGTTCTGAGGGGGGTCTGGGGTTCTGAGGTGGGGCCTGGGGTTCTGAGGTAGGGTCCGGGGTTCTGAGGCGGGGTTCTGAGGTGGGGTCTGGGGTTCTGAGGTGGGGTCCAGGGGTTCTGATGTGGGGTTCTGAAGGGGGGTCTGGGGTTCTGAGGTGGGGCCCGGGGTTCTGATACAGGTTCTGAGGGAGAATCCAGGGCTTCTGAAGGGGGTCCAGGGGTTCTGATGTGGGGCTCTGAGGGGGGCCCGGGGGTTCTGAGGCGGGGGTCCAGGGTTCAGAGGTGGGGTCTGGGGTTCTGAGGGGGGTCCAGGGGTTCTGATGCAGGGTCCCTGGGGTTCTAATGCAGGGATCCGGGGTCCTGAGGGGAGGTCCGCGGGTTCTGAGGGGGGGGGTCCCTCGGATTCTGATGAGGGAGTCCGGGGTTCTGAGGGGGGCCCAGGAGTTCTGAAGGGAGGTCTGGGGCGTCTGAGGCGGGGTTCTGCGGGGAGATCCGGGGTTCTGAGGGGAGGTCTGGGGGTTCTGACGGGGGGGGGTACTGGGGTTCTGATGCCGGGGGTTCTGAGGGGAGGTCCCGGGTTCTGAGGTGGGGGTCCCTGGGGTTCTGAGGCAGGGGTTCTGAGGGGATGTGCGGGGGTTCTGAGGGGGGAGTCCGGGGTTCTGAGGCGGGGGTTCCTGTCCCTGGGGTTCTGAGGCAGGAGTCCAATGATCTGAGGGGGAGTGCGGGGGTTCTGAGGAGA